CCGCTGCAACCATTATCCCGTTTTAGACTGCCAGAACTTCAAAGGCACAGTGGCTCAGTGGCTAAGACGCTGAGCTTGTCGATCAGAAAGGTCGGCAGTTCCACGGTTCGAATCCCTAGCGCCACGTAACAGAGTGAGCTCCCGTTACTTGTCTCAGCTTCTGTCAACCCTGCAGTTCAAAAGCATGTAAAAATGCAAATAGAAAAAATAGGAACCACCTTTGGTGGGAAGATAAGAGAGTTCTGTGCACCTTCAAAGTTTAGTGATGCCGGCCACATGACCACGGAGACGTCTTCGGACAGCTCTGACACTTCAGCTTTGAAATGGAGATGAGCACCGCCCCTTAGAGTCGGGAATGACTAGCACATACGTGCTAGGGGAACCTTTATCTTTAATTATGCATATATACTATCATTTTGAAACGTCTAAACCCATGTTTTTGCACCCCCTGGTTGGGAACCTCTATTTTAGACTGTCATAACTTCAAAGAGTTGCTAAACAAGGTGGTCAGTAAGAGAGGATCATCCATATTTGTTGTTAAAAGGCCAACCACTGTAAATAAAAGTTGGCCAAGAACAAAGCATATATCTCACCATTCAAAGTGGTCCTGGAAACCACTGATGCCTTCCCGGGAGCTGAAATAGGCATACATTTTCCTGCACCCGTTGTCGCTGGAGAGCTGCTCGGCTCCATGGCTCAACGCCACTTTTTTCTTGTTGCAACGTATCTTTCCAAGTCTGAGATCTATAGGCAACTGCGGTGAAAAATAATAAGAGAGATAGAAGAACATTATTCAAAGCACCAATTCTAGACAGCTGAGATGGTCAAAGTAGAGGGGAATTTAAGAAAGAACAGAAAAGACCATCTCTCTCTAAGTGGATAAAGGCTAAGATATATGAAGAGATATTTGATAAGGGAATTTCATCGCCGGTGTTTAATCAGGCTGATATTACCGTTATACTAAAAGCAGGTAATGATGGTATTCAGTGTGCTCATTATCGTCCAATCTCATTAATTGACGTCGCTGCAAAGTTTTCTAACAGCAGTGCAGGCAAATAGAGTAGAACAAGTGGTAGTTTGTTATTAACAATGACCAAGCGGGGTTTATAAAAACCAGGCAAGCAGCTAATAACATTAAAGCAGCCTTTGATCTAACAGATTTGAATAAAAATAAAGCTCAAGTAATTTTGTCACTACGGTAGATACTGGAAAGGTCTTTGGTAAAATACATAAGCATACCACTCTTGCTGCACTAAATAATTTGTTATGGAGTTCATAAAATAGACTAAGATGTTATATGAATTGCCAATATCTAAAGTGAAGATTAGTGGCATGTTTTTCTCCCTTATTTATTATTTAGAATTTTAGAGGAACTAGACAAGGAAACTGTTCAATATTTGCACGGAACTCTTAGCTTGTTCTATTAGACATCAGAGAGATCTATAGAGAAGGATATAAGTCCTTTGAACAAAAATTGGGTTTTATTTTTAGGTGACATTCTTTTGTTTTATTTCTGAACCTTATAATACTATCCCAGCGTTAATGCAAAGGATTAATGCCTTTAGCAAAATAATTACATACTTATTAACTGGTCCAAATTGGAACCGATGCCTTTAAGTGAAAAATTGGTTATCCATCCGTTTAAGGAATATTAATTCTATTTTTGTATGGAATCTATTACATATCTAGGGATCTCTATGCCAAAAGATATAACTCAGATAGCAACATGTAATATAAATAAAATATATATCACGGTTACTCCAGATATTGATAGATGGGAAAAGATGAACGCTCTCAAAATGAATTATTATTCCTAGAATAATTTAAATCCTAAGAGGAATTGCAGTCTTTGTTATCTGGCAAATATTTTTAGGAAATAAATTCTTTAAAGGATATTTTTTACAGCTCAGGGTTGAAATGAAATTCTTTGTTTAGAAAATTTCTATGGGGTTCTTTGATTCCAAGAATATCTTTGCAAAAAATTCAGTTACCAATTAAAGAAGAAGAATTTTGTTTTTTGAATCTGGAGTTATGTCATCATGCTATATTTTGTAATTTCACATCAATTTATTTACCTTACTTTATCATATCAATAGATAGAATAAAATTTTGTGATGCTGTGGTGGTGCAGTGCTTAGAATGCAGCATTACAGACTAATTCTGCCGACTGCCAGCAGTTTGATTCTGAGTGGCTCAAGGTTGACTCAGCCTTCCATCCTTCCGAGGTGGGTAAATTGAGGACACAGATTTTTGAGGGCAATACACTCACTCTGTAAACCACTTAGAGAGGGGCTGTAAAGCACTCAGATGTTGGTTTATGGATTTTGGTTTTTATTTTGTTTTCAAAATTTTGTTCATGTGGGAGTGTTATTTGATGTATACTACCTGGACTTGCAAGTACAGGTAGCCCTCAAGTTGTAATCATTCATTTAATGTTTGCTTGAAGTTACAATGGCACTGAAAAAAGTGTCTTATGACCATTTCTTTTGCATCCTGAATTTTTAACAAACCATGTCCTTTATTTGGGATTATTCTCTGCAAGCCT